CGACGAGTGCGCACTCGAGGCCGGCGAGAAAAAGAGCGCGGTGTTAGACGCGACGCGTAAAAATGTCCGGGAATTACGGGAGGAATCCGTAGTTGAACTCTGACTAAAAAGTAAGGGGTACAAATGGAACAAAACTTTATGTGTGTTTGTGTTCGTGTGGGTGTGCCGTTTGGAGATCGAAAGAAAGAAGGAAAGCGCCGTCTCGAATGTTCTTCCACTTTTCGTTCCTCGCTGTTTTCGCAAGCGCGCGAAATTGTAAGAAATAAAATTCAAGTCCCCGCGGGAATCCCGCGGAGTTACGACGGCGACGACCACCCGATCGCCGGGTTATGTATTTCATATTTCGAGACGCGTGGAGCGTCAAATGGAGAGAAGTCGTCGTGAAGAACCCAATTACATTTCACGATCTGCGATCGTCTCCCCGGTGGATCGATCTCGAATTCGTCACTGCCGAATTTCTCCAGACGAGAGATAAACTCTAGAAGTTTGAAATTAATGGAGAGTCTTCTCTCAGTTTCTGAATTTCTTGAACTGGAATTTCACTCAAAACGAATGAAAAGTGACAGTATTTTTACACGAAGCGACAGTGAAAATATCGCCGTTCGAAATCGAGAGTGAACATGTTCTCGTTGAGTGACGTTGGAATTGCCCGGGCTTAGATGTCCTATATTTTTACAGAATCTCAAAGTTACACTTCTCAAACAACTAATCGTTGTGACTGACTATAAAAGCATGATGCAGGCAGCCTTCTTCTACGTGTCAATGTACGTGTCGCGACAATCCTGTTAACCGTATATTTTGTTTTGTAATAACTACAATACAAACACGCAGCAACATGGCCATCTTGCTCTGGTGCCGGGTTTAGTTGTCCAGTAGCGCGGGCACATATAAAATATGTATCCTGCTTAGTAGTTCCGGAGTCTCTGCAAGAGATCTCCTCAGCTCTTTTACCAGTTCTCAATTATAGGCCAATTTTATATCCAATCCTGGTCCATTCATATACTCGACTTCAATCATTTTATGAATGAAAATTGTTTTTTATCCGAAACAGTGTATGATACATTTGCAAAAAACTTCGTTCTAGCTAATAACACGTCGCTCAATTTCATTCATTAACGATTGAGTATGTTAGTTATAAAATTTCAAGAAGCTCGAACATTTACTTTGCTACAAAATCAGTTTCCTTCTCTTATTTTTTAACTGTAATATTATTCTGATTTTAATAGAACTCAAAGAAAAATATCCGTGTTCTGAAAGGACTATTTTGTGATTTTGTACCCTCTGTTCCTCTCAAGATAAATACTGGTATAAACGCATGAGCAACATATCCCCATCTAGAGTCGTAGTCTTCTCTACATCAGATTTACTCTTCAATTTCGAGTGGAAACATTCACTCGACGATTCAGAAGATGAAGGACTCACAATATACAAGTGAGAAAAAACCACTCGAATTTGAATGACTCGGTGGTCACTCTATTTTTTCGAGTGTCCTTTCACTGCAAGAAAATTTCGAGAGGGCTTACGCGACCTGTTGGCGATTGGAAATACGGAAAGTCGAGTTTCGACGTAAAAATCGCCGGTCACCCTCCCTTCCCTCTGTAAATTTCCCGTGATGAGACGCGAGCGACAAATGGAAATGGTAGATTTTAGTCCGGGCACAGGTACAATGCGCCAGTTGATAATCTCCGCTCGACATGCTGCGTCCGAAACTAACCGTGCACAATGGGATAAGAACAAAAGAGGGCGAGTTCGAGGGACAATTCGAATAGAAGCAGGAAGGGACCAAGAAGGACAAGACGATAATGCGTAAGAACGACAACGCCTGAAAAAGAACGGCATAAATGGTCCCTTCCCCTTCGCTGGCTCGTTTCACTCTTATCTTATTTCTATTGCCGCGCACTTTGTTTTTGCTATTCAATAGACGCGTATACGTTCAATATATGCTCCGTCTCACGTGTTTTTTTCTCTTTATGCAATCCCACGACGCACGTTGCCTAATGTTTTCTTAAGAAAGAAAATAAATGTCGCAAGTTACATCGTTGCATCGCGAAATCGAATGCGAGATACTGAATCTCGTATTCCCTCATTCTCTAATCTCCCTTTCTCTCTCTCTCTCTCTCTCTCTCTCTCTCTCTCTCTCTCTCTC